ATTATTTTTCAAATTTGAAAACCCTAAAAATTATATTTATCAAATTTCATATAAAATTAGTCATGCTCTTTTTATGTATAATTTATTAAAATATAATTGATTGATTGATTTGTTTTGCGGATTGATTCTTTACTGCAGTATTGTCGATTAGATATATTGTCATTCTTAGATAACTCGTAAGGATAGATCAGTTTGTTCTTCATTGAAATTAATTTCTCTCAAAATAAATATATTAGTCATTATTATTGGTCTTCAAAGTTAAATTTTTCAATTGTTTGTTTAGGATATGAAACATACAATTGAGTAATAAATATGAATCAAAATTTATAACATTTAAACAAATCAATTAAGTAAACCTTGAAGTTTTGTTCATTATAATATTGTTTTCAATCTTTTATAATTATCATCTTTTATTTAAATATTTTTATTCTTAATTTTAGAATTTATTTTTTAATTTAATTTCTCATTGGGACGACTCTTTTTATTGATTTAATATAACTTCCCCTTGGATTTGACATCTAAAACTACGCTACAATAACCACTTAGTCAAAAGGTATTAATTTTGGAGTGAGACATCACTTGACCTTAAATTATCTTATCCTAAATTTAAATCCACCAAAATTTTTTTAAAAGAAAATACCATTATGAAGATTAAACATTTAAATAAAATATAAAATACATAGGAGATTCAGCCATTTTTCATTTATGGAGAATGAAAGAGACATGCATTTCAAGGTTTCTTTTGTGAATTTATGGATATCCTTCAACACTTTCTTTTTCTCACTTTTTAGTTTTTAGCCTTTAAATTTGCCTAAGATCTTGGTCATCATTTGCAGACAAATCTAATCCAACCCTTTTGGTTGACTTGGGACAGTTTCAGGTGATTTATTGGCACTGTGAATATTCACTGCTAATTCCACCCAAAACATAAGTTTTTTTGTCCTTTGTTGTCAATGATTATGTGAATTTCAGAAAACTAATAGAATACGAAATCATTTCTACCACATTTTTAGAAGTGTGGGGCAATTACTCCACTATACTCTATGTGGCTCAGCCATGGCCTCAGCTTAATTTCACACGTGGATGAACATGAATCTGATTCCATCTTCTTAAGCCTGTTGCTGGGCCTAATGAGGCCTTTCATTGGCAACTGCAAAAAGAAGATGACTACAAAATACTGACTACATGCGGTGAGATAGAGGCATGCTTTGAAGATAAGCCAACAGGGCATCATGGTTGAGTCACCACACACTAGAATAGAAAAAAAAAAAAAAATTGACGGCGTGAAAGTTTTCAAGTTCAAATTACTTCATTTGGTATTGATCGTTAATAAATCCTGTCGGTGGGATTTCTTTGTTTCAACTTTGAACAAGCCTATGATTTTACCTATTTGTTGATGCAACTTTTAGTCATTTCTGTCCATTTTTTCAGGTAAGGTATTAACTATTACTTCTTATTCAACGGTGCCCTGTAGAAAGAGCAAAGCAACAGCACCATCCCACAGTTCCATTCGAAGGGGAGTTAAATATCACAAAATTGCTTACCTTAGTTATCCGTACCAGAAACTGTTGCTTTCAGTACCTAATCTGTTAGGTCATCTTCTGCTAATGAAGAAACTAATTAATAACATTATTAAACATCTCTAGGTTGAGAAATTGTATCAGTAAATTTCACTCTTATCCTCCATTACTGCTAAGAAGATAAGATGAAAAAAATTATATGGGAGTCATCCATTCAATGCTGAGGATTCGAACTGTAGTGATTAGGCATCAATGTTCTTCTGTATGAATTAGTTAAAGTGTTCAGAATCTTAATACATTAAAATATCTTTTTAGGTATCTACGTATGGAGACACTAATATTCACTTAACAAAAGATTGAGCCAATATGTAAAGATTAAATACTTTATAAAGTCATATATATATTATTGCTTAATCACATAAGTTGTTGAAAGTTCTCTCATCGATCAATTCACCGAAGCATTGCTTTCATAAAAAGAAAGCTAAAAGCCTATAACAGAAGTTGGTTCCTTCAGAGATCTTCATAACATAGACACTACATGCAGTACATCATTCCAATATCCTAATCTGGTACTTATTTCATTCAATATATGTTTGCCATTGCTAGCTCAAGCAGTTTAATTAATTACAATGGAAAATTATTATCTCTAGTATCATAAGGTACTACTACTTCTTGATCCCAAGATGTAAACATTAATCAATTGTCTCACAATTTCTTGAAAATTCTCGTTAAATATTAGTATCTGAGAATGCAACAGAACAATGCAAAAAATTTTTAATGCAGAACTTCTTCATAAGCCAGTGTAAGTCTTAAAATTATAATTCATAGATATTACAGCATAACGTGTTACAACATTCAAACTATGATCTAGCACTTATACATCCAGCATTTGTTTGCCATTGCTGTCTTAAGCAGTTTACAATGGCAAAGCCTTATTTCTAGCATCATAATTTATTCTTACAACTACTAGTACTTGTAACTTCATGGCAGGATGTAAGCAGCCAGATCTTGCTCTATATCACTGAGAATATAAATCAGTGATGTTTTGGATCAGGACCTCCAGGGCTCAAACGTTTTGACTCAGAGACATTTTGGTTCCTGTAGTGATGATATCTGACCCCAAACTCATACACTGTCCTGGTGCTAGACAATGCTCGAAATGGCCCGTTCAGGTTCCTGCCCTCTGTGTGTGGATTATAAAGGCGGCTTTCACACATTGAAATTACAAGCAATATCAGTATTAGCCATGTGCAGAACCGCAAGCTGGACATTCTGTTCTTGAGGGTGCACCAAAATGCAATGTTTTTCTTGTAAGGATCAAAGCTTGGAAGGTCGCGTATATATAGACCATGGGGTGCCATTTTCCACTTAAATTAATCCAAATGCAGGGTATCACTTTGCTTTTCTCCTAAACACGGTAGGTAAACAGAACCATCCATTAACAAAAGATTAGCCAAATTAGTACCCACAAATTAAAAACTTTAACTTAAGGTTAAAATTGAGATAAAAAATTTAAACATATTACTAAATACTTAATTAACTCCAAATATATTAAAAAACACAAAATCCATCCAATAGATCCCTTGACTTTTGTTCATAAATTGTAGTCACCAGCTTAAATGCATCTGCTTGGTGCCTATAATTTCTCGCCCTTTCATAAAATTTTCTCAATCTTCAATGTTGTTTTTTTTTGGTAGAATCTTCAATGTTGTTATTAATGAATGTGCGTGCCATGTATTGCGAGTTGGGATGAATCCACTTTCCCAAAGTGTGCATCCTGAGAATTCTCTCTTGTACGCTTCTTTAGTGCTCCAACTTTTCTAAATCTTCACCTATTTTTTGGAATTTGATAATAGGCTATATGGCAATCTTTTCTTTCCCAAACCCTTCCAACTTGAGAAAATTTAATTTTGAATGTGGTTTCAATATAAAATTTATATTTAATTTAAAATTAATTTATAATAAGGTGATTTTTCACTTTTGTGTAAATAAATATAAGTTCTTATCATATAACTTAATGTGCCTTTCACATATAGACTCAATATAAACTTGGGATGTGTTTGAAATTGCTGTGAAATACTGTAACTGTAGTTTTAATTGTACTGAACTATACTGTATTGTGTTAAAACTGTAATTAAAAGTTATTTTGGTGTTTGGTTATTTATTTCTTAAAAGTATTATAGATGAAAT